CTGACGAAATAATGGAAGGCGCGCCCCCGGGAACGCGCCTTCATGTGAATAGTGAAATAATATAATAGGTACTGATATATCTAGTGTCCCCGAGGGACATGAGTGACATAATAGGACAATGATAACATATTCTATGACAAAATAATGGAAGACGCGCCCCCGGGAACGCGCCTTCATGTCCCTGAGAAATAATAGGTACTGATATATAGTGTCCCCGAGGGACATGAGTGACATAATAGGGCAATGATAACATATCTCTGATGAAATAATGGAAGGCGCGCCCCGGGAACGCGCCTTCATGTGAATAGTGAAATAATAGGTACTGATATCTATGTCCCCGAGGGACATGAGTGACATAATAGGGCAATGATAACATATTCTCTGACGAAATAATGGAAGGCGCCCCCCCGGGAACGCGCTTCATGTGAATAGTACTCCGATTATAGACACTATTATATGCAACGTATTATAAACTTTCAAAACAAACTTCAGTTCACAATCTTTCAAATTCTCAAATTCCCAAACTCTAAATTCTCAAATTCTCTGAAAATGAGTCGTCTTTCTGTGTTGTTTTGTATGATAGAGAAATTAAGGAAGCTGAAGAGGGGGTTGTTTTTGAGTCAGATCATTATATCCCCTTAACCTTGAAGAGAAACATCACAATTGAGGAGTTAATCAAAAATTTCGTTAAAGATTCGTGTAGCAGGCCAGAGAAGACTATCTTCACTTCAGTACAGATTTCCTACTGAACTTTTCCGCTCACGTATACATCATTTCAGCTTTCAAACGATGATGATGTTTCTATGATGGTTGATGCTCATATGGGGAGTTCACAATCTCTTATTGAAATGTATGCCACTTTTATTGAGGTTCGTGCAACTCATGGTCTCATATTCCTCTCACTTTGGCATTGCATATCAAACTGATCAAGTTGATAGCCCGACACAACTGATCTGTAATGATTTCACATCATTAATGGCGGATCCAACGCCATATACCATGCCATCAAGTTCAATAGGAAGGCATTCATCTGCAACTGCTTATGATCTCAACCACGTGGCTTCACCAATAATCCATATGGCAACATCTCTTCTACTTCAAGGGGCAGACATTCATCTGCCAATGTTTTCGACTTACATATGAAAATGCCAACGAGACGACAGTCTATTCACATCCCACATGATACAATGGCCTCAAGTTCAAGGGGAGGACGCAAGCGGGAACTTATTTGACCTCAACATTGGATTATCGGAGGAACCCTCATCTCACCAGAAGAACCTCTTCGGGAGCCAGGTGCAGATGGTGCTGAAACGGGATTATTCGTTGAACCTGACTCACCACAGTTTAACGTACATTCTGATGATGACGTTCCGATAAATACAACACCAGTCGAACTTCCTGCACATATGTATGAGGCTGATTATGATGCAATGTATGAGCCTGAATTTCCAGATCTTCCTGATGTTGGCAACTATGGACTTCAATCATCAGTCATGACGGTAATTTACATATTGGAATGGAGTTCGCATCGAAGGAGGAAGCAATGATGGCAATAAAGAGTTACAATATTCGTAACTCAGTTCAGTCCCGAGTTGATCGATCTAACACGGAGAAATATGTCTGCTACTGCGTCCAACGTGACAACGGATGTCAATGGATGGTCCGTGTATCAAAGAGGAAGAGGACGAACAACTTATGGGAACTAACCAGATACAATGGTCCTCATACATGTTGTGCAACAGGTATAAACCAGGATCATCCCAACTTGGACTCCAACATTATTTGTCAAACAATCATGCCCATTGTGAAGCAAAGCTCTCATATAGCGTTGCAGTGTTGATTTCTGCTATACAGTCACAATATGGGTACACTGTCTCATATAAAAAAGCGTGGTTGGCAAAACAGAATGCCATTTGCAAACTTCATGGCGAATGGGATTCCTCTTACAACGAGCTGCCCAGTTGGTTTCATGTTGTGCAAAGACTTAATCCCGGGACAATTGTTGAGTTCGAAACTCAACATCATTACGTGAATGATCGAATGGTTCGCGATCGCTGTCAATTTTACCGACTCTTTTGGACTTACCCTCAGGTATTAATGTAGTCAAGTACTAAACCAATTGTCCAAATTGATGATACTTTCTTGTATGGGAAATACAAGCAAGTTTTATTATTGGCTGTGGTCCAAGATGGAAACCACAATATTCTTCCTGTTGCGTTTGCCCTCGTTCAAGGAGAAGACACTGAGTCTTGGGCTTTTTTCCTTAAAAATTTACGTTTACATGTTGTCACCAGGGAACGTATGCATTATTTCAGACCGAGGAGCCGGGATAAAAGCAGCAATGGAATCTTTGGGTACAATGTATAGACCTCCACATGTTCAACATCGTTATTGTGTCCGTCATATTGCTGCAAACTATTACGGAAAATACAAGAAGAACGATGAACGTCAGTTAGTCGTGCGGATGGGTATGTTACTTTTTACCAATTTTTCTATCAATTTCTTATTACTTATTTATACTTCATATTAACTATTACATATTCCTAATGGCTTAGGTTACGAACTCTTACCTCAAAGGTTTGAGTCGATGCTACAAGAGTTGTTTGGCAAAAATAAGAAGGGGTGCGAGTACATTATGGACATCAGCAAAGAAATGTGGACAAATGCATATGACGGGGGGTATCGCTATGGTCATATGACAACAAACTTGGCTGAAGCAATAAATTCAACCTTAAAGGGGGCGCGTCATTTACCAGTCACGGCGTTGGTTAAAATGACTTATTTTCGTTTGGGTCAACTCTTTGCAAAGCTCGGTGGACAATCTCTTACTTGGATGCAAAACGGACATATTTACCACCCAAGACTAGTAGTTGATTTACAGAAAAAAGTGGTGCATCAAATGGGATGTTAGTTACAAATTTTTCTCGCACCCGTGAATTGTTTCGTGTAACCGAAATGCCACGTCCCCTGCAAGGGATTGAAGCTAACTCTTTCAGAGTTAATCTGCAAGAGAGGTGGTGCGATTGTGGTTTCTTTCAAGCACTCAAATATCCATGCTCTCATGTCATTGCTGCTTGCTCACATTCGCATTTGGACTACAAAAATTATATTGATCCCGTATACCAACTTTCACAAGTATTCAAGGTATATGAATTTGAGTTTCCGCCCATAGGAAACGAAAGAGACCCAAATGAGATTCAAACTTGGCTTACAATTGTACTAGATCCATTGCTATTGAGGGACTCAGGTCGTCCAAAATCTACTAGAATACATTGTGATATGGATATTCGGGAGAAGTCAAACAGAACAAAACGATGTGGGCATTGTAGAAACATCGGGCACAATAGAAAAAAATGTCCAGCTATGTTATCATCATATAACCGTTAACTCTTATGTAATTAATATTGTATTTAAATGAATGCTTTTGTTTCTAATAATTTAATGTTATTGCATTTATATTTGTCAATGTATGTACACCTAAATAATTTTTTTAAATTTTAATACAAATATAATATATTTATTTAATATAATAATTAATATTATTAGTTATAATTTTTTTTAAATAATAATAATTCTACATTCTAAGTAGAGAAAAATATTAAATTAAACAAATTAAAAGTTATTAAAAAATTTATGTATACGATGACACATTTCATGTTCTGATTGGAGATTAAATATTAAATTAAATTTTCAATAAGACTAATTTTATAAAATATGTAAGTCTTGAAGATTAAATATGTAATTATACTAATTTATTAAACTTATGCATCAATATTTTCGTTAAATATTGATATGAGATGACTAGATTGATAACATTTAAATAATTAAACTGAAAAAATAGATCGATAATCAAAATCAAAATAATAATATAACCATATGTAATATTATAATTTCATACATTTTTCCTATAAACTACAATAAAGTCAAAACTGGTTTCATATATTGTTATATAATATAATGTAGATAATTCACTCCACCTTTAACACATATTAACAAAATACATTTGATAATTCTTACATTATAATCGAAACATTTTACATAATATATTATTAATTTATAATAATAAAAATAAATTATTTATTATTAAACAAAATACGTGTCTGCTGAGTTGGCAAAGGCGCGTCCCCGGGGATGCGCCTTCCACACGTGGCATCCAACTCAGCGAAAACACGGGTAAAGCGCGTCCCCGGGGACGCGCCTTTGCCAACTCAACAGAAAGGGTGCTACTTCTGAAAATATTGGTCAAACGGTGTCAGAAAGGAAAAAAAAAAAACGGTATCAGTTATGTCAAATAGCCTTGTATTTCAGCCTGTGCAGGAGAGGTGCCTGGCTACCTGCCCCCAAAATTATAAAATTCACATATAATTAAAGAAAGAGTAAATTATTCATTTAGTCACTCACCTATTACTTTATTTCTATTTTGGTAATATAATTATTATTTTTTGAAATCATACCTAGAGATTCATTTTATTTCTGTTTTAGTCACATACACCGTTAAAAAAATTAACAACGACGATGATGTGATATTTTGAAATTATTTTTTAATTTCCAATTATTTATTATTTTATTGTTTTCTGACAAGATGAAGATGTTTGACATCGAACTTTATACCTCTTAAAATTCAAAATTTTCAATAGTATTTTAGAGGTTTAATTTATATATTTGTCCCGAACCACTAAAATTTCAGAAACGAACTTGGATGAAGCAAAGCCAGATTTTATTGATCTAAGAGAACAAAATCGTCAAAAAGCTATTAGGCATCATGGACGACACAAAATTAGTTAAAGGATGAAAATTTTAGTCGAAAGAAACATATTATGGAGCTCTTGGACAAAATGAAGATGCTGGAAACTACTCCAACACACTACGGTCACTACTCATCTCTGCTGAAGATGGCGATCCCTGCTTAGATCGACTTTATACAGACAGATTGTTGGCAAACTGCAGCATGTGTGTACCACTAGACCAGACATTTAATTTGTGATAAAGTGAGTCAGTTCATGCAACCGCCTCTTGACAAGCATTGGAAGGTAGTTAAAAGAATTGTTAGTTACCTTAAAGGAACTTTGGATCATGGACTATTCTTTGCTTCAAAACCAACGGGTACAGCTTTAGTTGGTTATTCAGATTCGGATTGGGGAACTAATTTAGATGATCAAAGATCTACTGTAGGACATGGTATGTTTTTGGGAGGCAATCTCGTTGCTTGGAATTCTAAGAAACAAGGAGTGGTGTCGAGGTCTTCCACTGAAACAGAATCTTAAAGTTTAGCCAATGTTATGTGGATAAAATCTTTGTTGGCAGAACTTAATATTCAACTTACTACTACACCGGTCATCTGGTATGACAATATTAGTGCGATTGCTCACGCTGTTAACCCGGTTCATCATGTCAAGCTTAAACATGTTGAGTTGGATTTATGTTTTGTCAGGGAAAAGGTTATGGATGGTTTGTTTCCGATCAACTATGTTTCTGCTCTTGACCAAATAGCTGAAGTTCTGACTAAGCCGTTGTCGGCTCTTTTTTTGTTCGGCTTAGAAAACAGCTCAGAGTAGTTTCAGAAAGAAGAATTAAAGTTGCAATCGGTTAAATGTTTTTCTACACCAACCATTGGAAAATCTTGAAGAAGCTTATAAAGGGAGAGAAATAGGAAGTATGTTAGTGTTATCAGTAGTTTGTGTTGTGCAGTTATATAAGTCAATATTTGTTATCAAAGTCAAGGTTTGTTATCAGGTTTAAAGGTTAGTTAAATTTATGTTATATGAGAAGTTATAGGCTGTTGTATAAATGGTGAGGTTGGCTTGGTTAATGAACAAGTTCTGATTCTGAGGATTGTTCTTAAACGTTGTTCATAATCTTTCAAGGGTTGATTTTTTACAAGAAAGCGAGTCATGCATGTGGAGGTCGCGACGGATAGTGATTCGAATGAGTAATCGGAAACGAAATAACTCGGACGTATATCTTTAACGGATAGTTATATATCCATAGCTGCAATGCAATGAACTTTGTATATTTCCTCAGGAACCTTTTAATGCTCCTTGGGTTTTTTTTCTTCCCAGATGTTGGTGTATGAGTTCATGCCCAACGGTTCTCTTCATGATCTTCAATCGGGTAATTTCTCATATCTATCTTGACTGTATAACAAACACACACACACATATATATATAGTAAATGTTGGAAAGTTTACATTGTTTATATGAATGAAATTGCAGATAGATACAGACATACATTGAGTTTCCCCATGCGATTGCGTATCGCGTTGGGTTCGGCCAAAGGGACCCTCTACCTTCATAATGAAGCAAACTCGCCAATCATTCATCGGGACATCAGGGCAAGCAACATATTGTTGGACTTCAAGTTTACTCCTAAAGTTTCGGATTTTGGAATCTCAAGGCTTGCACCACTACCGGAAGCCGAAGGAGCTTCGGCTCTTGTCTCCACTCTCGTAAAAGGAACACCAGTAAGACTATAAGAGTTTTTTCAGAAACACTTCAGTTGTCATTTGGTGCATGAACTTCATTTCCATTGTTCTGTTTTGTATATAGGGTTACCTGGATCCGGAATATTTCTTGACTCACAAGTTAACCAATAAAAGCGACGTCTATAGCCTCGGGATAGTTTTTCTGGAACTTTTGACCGGCATGCTGCCAATCTCTCATGGTCGAAACATCGTAAGGGTGGTATGAACAATGATAATAGATTTATGCTAGTTACAACTAAACATAGTATTGTTTTATAAAAATGATAATCAAATGTTGCCTTGATGATCCCAAGCAACGACCCACAATGTTGGAAGTTGTGAGAGAGTTGAACAGTTATGTTGCAGTTCCCGGAGATTTATATCACGCCAACCGGGTCGGAATCAGATGCATCAAATTCGAATATGTCGCAATCATCGCCTCTCTTCTCCAGAAGGAATTCGCAACCCCCCACGGAGATCCTTGGAAGTGAACTGGTTAGCGGAGTTATCCCCATCAAGCCTCGCTATCAATCACCTCTATTTTTGTTATCTCTTTATCATGTTAAACAATTTGTTGAATACTAGGAAAAAGATTAATGGGGGTGGCTGCTTGTATTGTATTACTAGTTTTCTGTGTTTATGGCTTTTGTTTGTATCCATTTGGACATGATGATCGGTAATGGACAAATTCCGTCTGGCCATTTCAGTTTTACATGAATGAGAACGTACTTTATGATCCCATCATAAAACAAATTGGTAATATACATAACACCTTGAATTGGTTTTAAAGTTTAATTTGATATTTAAGTTTGAGAAAATAATCTCAGTGACCGAAAATTCCTTATAATATACGATTTTGACCAACTTTTTTTCGATTTGCCAAAATGACCAACAAAATCGCAACGCGATCTCCAGTATCGCAAATAAGTTTCCATATTCGCAATGCGATTTTGACTATCGCCATCTCAGTTTTACATGAATGAGAACAACTTTATGATCCCATCATAAACAAATTGGTAAATATACATAACACCTTGAATTGGTTTTAAAGTTTAATTTGATATTTAAGTTTAGAGAAAATAATCTCAGTGACCGAAAATTCCTTATAATATACGATTTTGACCAACTTTTTTCGATTTGCCAAATGACCAACAAAATCGCAACGCGATCTCCAGTATCGCAAATCAGTTTCCAGATTCGCAACGCGATTTTGACTATCGAATTGCGATTTTCCAATTCGTGTTGCGATTTTAGAAAATCGCAATGCGAATATGTAATCACAACGCGATTCTGACTATCGCAACGCGATAATACATAATCGCAACTCGATTCTGACTGTCGCAACACTGAATTTCAAATTCGCAACATGTTTTAGTTTCGCAACACAAAGTTTTGGGTATATAACTACGCAGCAGCAGTAACTCATAACCTAAATCCCTAAATCGCAACTCATTCCATCTCCATCTCTCATTCTCTCCGGCGACATCCGTTCCTATATCCACGACATCCTTCCCCATCCGGCAACAGGTTTTAGTTTCACATCTCGTTTGTTTAGTAAATTAATTTACAATAATGAAATCATCTGTTGATCATGTTTGGATAGATTTGTGTTTTGGAGGGTCATGGGAGAATGTTCATGGTGTTTTACAATATATGTCTTTACCCATGAATCTTCAACTAAAACTGGTCATTAAAAAAGTTAACTTATGAAACTCTAATGTTACGTTACAAATTGAATTTAGAGCCCCTAAGTGGATTTAGGCTATCTTATCAGAGAAAAGTAAGTTTATTTGTTAACCGACAATGAAGATGTTGAACGATTCATTGCTTACATTAGTGTTTCGCAAGATGATGTTACATTGTATGTTGTTGAACCTAGAAGTAGTGAAGTTGGGTCAGCGGGTAGTAATCAACTAAGTTTTTCAACCCTAGTTATGGTGCTCAAAATTTAATGGTTCCACCACAAGTTCATCACCAAGCAAATTTTGTTTCACCACATTTCTAATACCAAACACAATCTCAAAACCCACAACCTTTCCCTAATCCAAATCCCAATCAACTTCAGCACCAAATTCCAGTTTTCGTATTAACCAGTTAGACGATGATGAGCCAACAGAAAAAATTGGAGACTAGTCATATTCAAATTTGATCTTGGTCAATACCCGACTTTGATCTTGGTCAATACTCGGATTTTGATGATGTTTCAGAAGAAGAAACAGACCCTGCGTGTAATGATTTTGATATTGGTCAATACCCAAATTTTGATGATGAAACAGCCGCTGCGAGGAATATGTTGTTGATGATAATGAGGAGGAAGTTACGACTGTGAATGAACATGTTGAACATCAATTCTGTAATTCATATAACCCTGAGGAAGAAAAAGAAGAAGAAGAAATCCCCGAAGAAAAGTCCCCGAAGAAAATGCCACGGGAGTATAATTGGAATATGCCAGAATTACTTCAGATACCGAAAGAAGAGTTGGTAAAGATAGCAGTTGATTGTTACATAAAAATTATTCGTATCAAGAAAGATGATTGTTTTGATACAAAGGAAGACTTGAAGATAGCTTTGTATACGAAATGTGTGGAAGATGGCTATCAACTAAAAGTTAACAAATCAAGCAAAGATCGTTTCGAAACAAGGTGTATGATTGACAAAAACTGTACATGGTGTATTATTGCAAAGAGGATAAAAGATTGCGAAATGTTTCAAGTTAGGACTTTTATTGATAAACATACATGTTCAAGAACCCAAGTTTTTCCTCACCATAGACAGGCAAACAAAAAGGTGTTGGGTGGTTTTCTGGCTGAGTTAATGTTTTTGAATGGCAGGGTATATCGGGGACATGAAATTATGACTGAATGAATGCTCGTTCAAGATTAGTATCTCATATTCTCAAGCTTGGAGAGCCAAATGTTATGCCTTGGAATTGTTGAGGGGTCGCCAGAAGCATCGTTTGCCAACTGCCGGCTTATTGTCACAATTTAAAGCTGAAAAATCCTGGGTCGGTAACTCATATCAAACAGATAGAGATGAACGCTTTGAGTTGCTGTTTATCGCCATTGGTGCTGTGGTTAGTAAATCATATAATTTTGTTGACTCATTTTTGTTAGTTACATGCATTTCACATTTAAATGATTATATTTCTTGTGTATATTATTTTGTAGATTCATTCGTTTATTACTTGCATTAGCCCAATTATTATAGTTGACGGAGCACATTTGAAAGGTCGATACCTTGGAGTAAACTTATTAGCAGTAGTCATGGATGCTAACAATGGGATATTGCCAATAGCTTACGGGTTGGCAAATCTGAAACCTCTGATTCATGGACATGGTTTATGGGGCATCTTAGGGATTGCATAGGTCCTATTATCAATCTGACAATCATATCCGATAGGGCAAACTCAATTGACAACGCTGTTAGAAGGTGTTTCCCAGATGCTTTTCATGGACTTTGTGGTGTTTATTTGTATAGAAATCTAAAATCAAGGTCTGATGGTATAAAAATCAAATGGACATACTGGAAGGCTGTAAAAGCTTATCAGGAAGGGATTTTAATAAGCATATAAATTGTTTAAGACGTGTTTTGCCTCAGTGTCTCAAACACTAGAAGGTGTCGGGTTTGAAAGATGGTCAAGAGTACATCAACTTGGAGCAAGATATGGTTTCATGACGTCTAATAGTGCAGAATCAATCAACGCTCTAAGTCTTCATTCCCGGAAATTACCCATTACTATGTTAATGGAGTTTTTTCGAGCCTCTATTCAACAGTGGTACTACAAGAAAAGAAACCATGCAAGTATTATTTCTTTAAATTCGTAACTTATCATATATTTTACTAAGTATTATTTATTTAAATTTACAGGAACATTGGATCATCGTGTTACACCATGGACTGAAAAAAGATAACGAAACGTGTTGTGAAGTCAACGTAATGGAGAGTTGAACCATGTTCAAACACTTTGTTTGAAGTACTGGATAATAACTTAAATGGGCTTGTCGATCTAAATGCAAATACGTGTAGTTGTATGAAATGACAAACATCTGGTTATCCGTGTGGCCATGTTATAAAAGTTGCTCTTCATCTAAACCAATATGATTCAAGCGCATACGCTATGGATTGCTACACTACAGAAGTATATCGACAGACTTATGCCGAAATTATCTACCCTATTCCACATCCTTCTGAGGGACATACCAGATGACTTACAAACAGTTTTGCCACCAGCCATGGACAGAAGGCTACCTGGTCGACCAAAAAGTCACGATCGTATACCGTCTAAGGGTGAAGAGAAGAAGAGATCGACGTGTAGTCGGTGCAAGGAAAATGGTCATACAGGGTTGACATGTGGATCACCAGTGTCATCACAATCATCTTTTCCTCTACCAAAATGGATCCTCATCAAAATCCAAAGCTCATATGGTGTCAAGCAAAAGGCAATCAAAATCACAATCAAAATCAAAATCTCAATCACAACCGGCTTCACCTTTTGGGACTATTAACTTAGGTGATTTTTAAATGCAAACGTTGTATTATGTGTATTTATGTGTAAACTTTTAAATAAGAATTATTTACACATCAATTAAACAAATCAACTTTTACAAATCAATTAAACAAGCAAAAAATAATAATAATTCTTATTTTCCTCCTCATCATTAAACAAATCAGACTTTTAAAATCAATTAAACATAAAAAAAGTGTACCCTATACAGTTGTTTATGCACCCATACATCAATTTCACGCAGCTCACTTCAGGATTAACCTGCAGAAACCAAACATTTACTCAAACAACACTTTCTACACATCTAAAACCAACAAACAACAAATGATTGAATTCTAGGTACTTAACAACACTTGCATTTGACTTACCAATTGTTTATGGACACTTTTATAACGCGGATGCAGGTAGACAGCGTCTCGCATATATCGCTCTAGCCATAAAATACCGAAACCACAAGCCTACTGCACCTCTATCTCTATCGGTGGGAGGTAGAAACTGTGTACTTCCTGTCGTCAAACGCTCCAAGCACATGCATACGAGAGGACCACAATCCCCTCTGGCTTCCTGCGTTTGTTGTGGCGCGGTCTCGTCTCTGATAACTGTAACATTGAACTTCTTTGGCTTCTTATTTCCAGAATAAGTCTAATAATTAATCTCATCCAAAAATTTAGCCAAATGAGAGCTCCATCCCTTAATAATATCTCTCAAATCAGACAATGATATGTAATTTATCATGCTGTCATATACTATTGTCTTCAGGTATGGGAGCAAAAGCTCGACGAGAAGCCAATGAGTATGTTCCAAAACAGGGATAAACACCTGCAATCATAAGTAATAATTCAATTGCGCATTTATTTATGAACACCTTTAAAATATTTAAAAAATAAATAATAACCTTATCGACCTCCCACCATGCAGGATAAAGTTTAGCTTGTCCATTAGCCAACACATATGATTCATGTCGTTGATTCTTCAAGTGAACTATGT